GAATAATTACTAGGACAGCCGATCTCAAATATCACACCTATCTTTAATTGTACCTATCCTTAACTGTAGCTATCAACTCCAAGTGACTAATCACTTATCTCTTCACGCCACTACCTTAACTAAGACTTTGTGCCTAATAGGTCAAGTCCAAGGGTCCAACTCCAAGAGGTCCAGTTAGCCAAACTCAAAGGAGTCTGCAGCCGGTCAAGCTCATCAGGTTCCAGGAATTACATCAATAGAAAAGCATGCATGGTCGTCTAAGAGCTCATCCATGCTACCTTGGAAATAGTCAATACCTTAGTCATCCTTTGACCGAGTCTCATGAAGAGCATCTCAACCGCCTCGCCCGTTGAAAAAAATTGTCAGCTCCACCAGAATAGTTATTTAGTTGTTATTAAGTCGCCCCAATCTGTTAGGGGACGACTATAAATTGTAAGCCCCATCAACACTTGGAGAGCAAATCACGTTTTGTTGAGCATAACTCTCTCATTTTCCTCCTAGATTGTAGCTCTCTACTCTCCTTACACATTTGAGTTAATAAAATACCCGACGACCCTAGTTATTCAAAAGTGAACATAGGTCACTTTGAAAGAACCACTACAATTCTTGTATTATCTCTACTTTAATTACTGCATTTATTACTCATACTTGACAGATGGTGTGCAAACTCAATTTGTGCATCATCAATTTGGTGTTGTCTGTGGGAATCGATTAAATTCTCACTTCTAAAAAATTCATTTGTTGAATCAATAACGATCATTACCAAATCCATAAACCAACTTGAGGATAATCCACCGCGAGAGGAGGAGGTTGCTCCTCCACTAACCAATCTTATCCCAAATGCTCCTGTCCTAAAAACGCAGCAGATTTTGGAGACCATGCAGCAGGTTGTGGCCCAAAACTAGTAGATCCTATAATTTATGCTCGCCGGACAAGGAGAGCACAACCTCTTGGACCTCAAGTCATAGGAGCTCCACACCTTGGGTGTCAAGAAGCTCTCCAAGGAGCTCCCCATCTGGGCGCCCCACAAAGGGGAGCCGACTATGAAAGGCCTCCACCTTCTTTAGCTCCTGCTTCCCTTGGTGGAGACTCTAATTTTCAAAAGGATGAGGGTGAAAATCAAAATATGGAACATGGAAGTCATTTCCATAATAATTTCAAAGGAGCTCCCAACCACTAAAACAAAAAAATAAAAGAGGTGCAAAATCAACTGGGTGACGTCTTCAACGCCATGAAGGCGCAAGAACCTGAGATTATGGACTACCTTGTCAAGCGAACTGACACGCCTTTCAAACTTGACGTGGAAAACTAACCCCTCCCTCAAAAGTTCAATATGTCATCTATGGAAACCTTTGATGGAACGAAGGATCCACTAGACCACCTCGAAACTTACAAAACTATAATGTAGTTGCACAATGGTCCCGACGAGATCATGTGCTGGGCATTCCCAACCACCCTGAAGGGGTCCGTCCGATAATGTTTCGTCAAGCTCTCCCCATCTTCCATTGCCTCCTTTGCTAAGTTGAGCAGGTCCTTCGTGTTACACTTTATTGGAGGGTGCCGCCACCAGAAGCCTATCACGCCATCTGCTTAGCATAAATCATGATTGAGATGAGAGCCTAATGAGCTACCCTGCTCGTTTTAACGAGGAGGTCCTCCAAGTTAAGGAGTTCGATGACAAAGTAACTATGATCATCTTCTTGGGAGGCTTCCGCTCGTCAAACTTCCTCTTTTCAGTAATGAAGCGATCGCCAAATAGCATGTCAAAACTATTGGCAAAAACTCAAAAATATATGAATGTTGAGAAAATCAACAGGTCCAAGCGAGGTGAATCATCTTGCGAATCGCCAAAAGCTTGACCTCTGCACTGTTCTCAAATAGGCAGCCCATTCTCAAGCTTAAGGACTCTCTCACGGGTCGCCAAAAAGTTCGGTCTCAAAAGGTATAGCTCTCTCATGAGTAATCCTCAAACTCTGTCTTTGCTCTTGCGCAAACAGTCTGTCTTTCTCTCCAGGTAATTATGTATGATATTTTAATGTTTGGAATAACATTATTTTTTTGTCATCTCTAGCCAAGCTCTTGAAACTCAGGTCGTCTGCAACCTGAGGGACTACATTAAATTGAATGTCAACAATCGGGGTACATCCTTTTATGTCCATCCGGCACTGCTGCCTCTATCAGTAAAGTTGCTTGCCAGCGGCGCCCCTCCAGCAATGCCCAGCCCCATAGGCACCACTCGAGCACATCGAGCGCTATAGGCACCTCAGCAGACTGCACACTCAAGTTGGCCCTCAGGATCGCGCCCCACAACACCTGCTACTCGACCATATTAGCACCCTCCGCCCCCAGGCTCGTCCAAGGCAGCCCCTTGTTCGCCCAAAGCTCCATCCTCGCCAAAACTCTTCAAACACCTTTGCTTGCCTAACGGGCTGCTCTGCGCGCCTGCACCACTATCAGGGCCCAGCCTAGGCGCCTCAATGCCCATCTCGCCCACCTTTATGGCCTACTCACCCACCTCCATGGCCTGTTCGCCCAGGTCGCCTAAGACATCCAAATGAGCGCCCATCTTTGTGGCCTGGGCGCCCAATACCAAGCTTTCCTGGGTATCTCCCTAAATTTTTTGAGTTGCTGGGCCCTCCACTGTGCACGCAGCAGCGTACGCCCAAAGGAGCTCTTCTCCCTTCCAGCGTTGGTGTCTCTTTATGGTCATCAAGAAGTGGCCCAGACGCCATTCCCCTAGCGGCAGTGCCGCCCGCAATGATGTGGGCTTTGACGCCTGCTTCTTTTCCTTTTATAGCTTGCATCCCTCCTTCCCCCAATTGACATTGCCTCTGAGATGCTCAAACTCAAGAAACTCCTTGAAAGATTTGAGGAATAAAGCTCTTCATCTCTCTCAAGATTGAATGAAATGGTTAGAATGAAAAAGTGGTTTTCTTTTTATAGTTGGGGTTTTAAAATCCTATTGAAGGAAGGAAAAGACAAAAAAAAATCCCCAAATTACAACTTAGGCTCTTCAAGAATCCAGAAAAGGAAATAAATTAGGGAGTTTATATAGTCAATGGAGTTCCACAAGCAAAAGGAGTCTACTGGAAGGGAGAAGGTCGTCGATCAAGAGGAGTTTCCAAAAAATTTAGATTTAAAAAAGACTGCACGCTATTTTGACTGTAATCTTTGATCCAAAACTTTAAATGGGGCTTATTATATATCAAATCGAAGCTCTCGGTTAACCCTACAAAACTCTTTGCCTATGGCAATGCAAGATGCCGTAAAAAGTATAAAAAAGGCTCAGAAATAGCTGTTTTGACCTCCCGAAATTTTATTTTATTTTTTAAAAACCATTCAGCTACTTCTTGCCCAGAACAGTACCAACTCGTCCAGAACAATGTTTGCTCACCCAAAGGCTATCCACTAGCCCAAATCACGCTCTCAGTTTCCTGCTCGTTATTTCGACCACAATTTTTGCTCTGTTACTCCAAACGGAGCTTATTATATATCAAATTAAAGCTCTCGATACTGTTGAAAGTCCAAAAATGCTTAAAAACAGATGTTTTGGCCTCCCGAATTTTTTTCAGTTGTGCTGGTCAACCAAAAATTTAAACTCAACCGAATGTCCTCATTTTCAAGTTCCATTGGACACAGGGCATTGGGGACAAATGATGGGCTAAGCCCAAGAGCCCAACTCCAAAAAGTTCAGTTAGTCAAACTCAACAGAGTTTGTGCCCAGTCAAGTTCATCAAGTTCCAAGAGTTACATCAGTAGAAGAGCACGCATGGCCGTCTAAGAGCTCATCCATGTCACATTGGAAATAGTCAATATCCCAATCATCCTTTGATCGAGTCTTATGGAGAGCACCTCACTTGCCTCGCCCGTTGAGAAAAAGTCGTCAGCTCTACCAAAATAGTTATTTAGTTGTTATTAAGTCACCTTAATCTATTAGGGGGCGATTATAAATTGTAAGTTCCACCAACACTTGGAGAGCATATCACACTTTGTTAAGCACAATTCTCTCCTCTCCCTTCTAGCTTGTAGCTCTCTGCTCTCCTTGCACATTTAAATTAATAAAATACCCGCGTGACTCTAGTCATTCAAAAGTGGACGTAGGTTATTTTGACTGAACCACTATAATTCTCGTTTCCTCTCTACTTTAATTACTGCATTTATTACTCATACTTGATAGGTGGTGTGCAAACCCAATTTGTGCATCATTAGTGCCTATAAATTGTAAGACATATCTACACATAAGGGATACGTCTCTATACTTTGGTCAAACCACTCTATATGTGTTTATTGTCTGTGGTGATAACTTATTTATATTTATTACCCACATTAATTATTGGATATGTGGTGCATAAATCCAATTTTTTGCATTATCAAAATATAATTTTCAATTTTTTTGAAGGAGCAAAGTGAATTTAGAGGGGAAAAAATCGTTTATTTATTTCTCATCCAAACTTAATTCAAAAAATCAAAATTTAGTTTTAAAATAATTATAATATTTCTAGTTTCAAGGGGTTGAAACGAATCAATGATTGAATCAAAATTTTAATATTTTGAAATATTTCAGTATAATTTTACTAATATATTGAAATATTTTAACTAATATTTTAAATATTTTTAAAAAAAATTAACAAATTATTTATTTATTTATATTTTATTTTCAAAATATTCTAGATAATAAAAATTAATGCACCGAATTAAGATTTGACCGAAAGGGACCACACACGTGACTTCATGTAGCCAAAATTTATAAAATTTATATGAGTAATGTTAGACTGGTCAAATTTTGAGTTTAAATTTAGAGTTCAAATAACATTACAATTGACTTTGGCTTATTTCATTGGTATCATGTCATTTGAGTCTCAATAAAAACTCTCAATAATCAACTATCATATCATTAAACTCTAAATTTAATCTCAAAATTTTGGTCAATTTAACGTTCCTGAATTTATATATCTCCAGTGGCCATATAAGCCACGAAGACCGCACGACAGCCACGCGTATCTCAGATCACTCCGTTTCATATCTATCTCTTATGGTGCAACTCCTCTCCCAGCTGACCAGTTCAAAGTCCCCAACCCTCTTCTCTTCCATATCGCAAGACGAACACAATCGGCGTTACAAGAACTGAAAACTAGGGCTTTACAAAATCAATATCTTTTTCTTCTCAGAGCTCGATCAGAATATAGGATTTCATCTCAGAAAATGGATAAATTGGACAAATTGAAGCTCGCTTCATCATCGCTAGGCGAGAGATTGAAGACTGGTGGTGCCCAGATGAGTCGAATCGTTAGCTCCAAAATGAAGGAAATTCTACAAGCACCAACGCCAGAGTCCAAGATAGTCGACGAGGCGACGTTAGAGACCATGGAAGAGCCTAATTGGGGCTTGAATTTGCGAATTTGCGCGATGATCAACGGCGAACAGTTGAGTGGGACCGAGATCGTGAAGGCCATAAAGAAGAAGATGTTGGGGAAGAGTGTGGTGAGTCAGAGGTTGAGTCTTGATTTGCTAGAGACGTGTACGTCGAACTGTGAGAAGGTGTTTAGTGAAGTAGCGTCGGAGAAGGTGTTGGATGATATGATGAGGATGATCGATGATCCGAAAACGGAGCTTGAGAATAGAACCAGGGCCATGCAGTTGATTAGGGCTTGGGGTGAGTCCGAGGATCTCATGTATTTGCCCGTCTTCCATCAAACTTACATGGTCAGCTTTCACCCCTTTCGTGGTGTATACGTAGATTTGTCGTTAATTTATAGTCTATTTCTCTTCTGATTGTGTTGCGTCATCATTTTTTCTTTTAGTTTTTTCTTGAATTTTCGTCTTTGGGAGCTAAGCGTATAAGTAATAAGTCGATTTACATGTCTGGTTCTTATTTTGTTGCGATTGTCTAATAAATGTTTACAAGTAAGCACCTAATATTTATGTGGAACAGTTGTAACTAGTAAAGAAAATATGATTATGTGATGTAAAACATTGGTGTAGTTTTATTGCAACTCGAAAATTTTGTTAGGCAAACATTTTTGGATGCTGAATATATTTTTATTACTGATTTCTCTGAGTTGATGTTGGACATATTTGAAATTATACATGTTCTTACAGTTATCGACATCATGATACACACTCTGGATGGAAGTTTGGATCTTATATGAATATTTCTTGCTGTACTTCTGTGTGATTAAGCTCAATGTGATATGTGTTGCAAGAGCTTAACATGCCTTAAACAAATTTCTGAGGTTAGAGCTGCAGGGACTTTTAGATCAGTATACCTCAATCCTTGCTTATAATGCAAGAACGCAGGACTCGAGCATCATAATTCATAGGTTAACAAGGTCATTCACGGCATTATTGCTTTCCAATGCAAGGAGCAAAGGAGAGTTCGTAACCTGTAGCGTTCACCTTTGATTTTGCTGATGCTGGGATAGTCCTCCTGTATAATCACAACATAGGGAGACATCTATGCTAGTTATTTTACTTAAGCATAAATAAAGAGATGATTGACAATCTGGGTACCTACAGTGGTTCATGTTTGTTTCATCTTTACTCTGGTTTATCTGGTATTCTTCCTAGCTATCCTTAATCTGAATCGTGTACTTTTTTCAATTTTCGCTGATGGAGAATAAATTACTCCAAGGATGAGAGCAATCTTAGAAGCAACATTATGGCTCTTTCCCATATGTCAATTTCTGTTTATGTATCCACTGTTGTCAGGCATTACTAATGGGATCTCTCAGTTTGTATATTTAAGGTTTTCTGGCACTTTCTGTCTGAATTGTAGGCCTGGTTTTAATATGGTTTTTAAAGAGACTGATGCTCCTTTTGTTTGTGTTTTGGTTTTTGTGATCATTATGACAGACTTTGAAGACTAGGGGAACACCTCAAGGGGCTCAAGATGGGATGCAATATACCTTGGAGTCGTATGTGAATCAACAACCAATGTCACCACCTGAAAGATACCCCATTCCTGACACGGGTTTGCGTGGTTCAGATGATAACACTTTTGCTTATAGCTATGCCAGCCAATCCATTGAAGATAATAAAGAACTTATTGTGGTTACACGAAACAGCCTTGACCTGCTTTCCAGCATCTTAAACTCTGAAACTGAACCAAAACCCATCAAGGTAATTAATCTTTTTCCTTCAAGATGGTAGTATCCTATCAATACATAGGTTGCCAACTTTTGTAAGATATTAAGAGGTGTGCATTTATCCGAATCCATAGCTTAATTTTACCATTTCTTTGGAAATGTTCCTTATTACCAGTCAGTTTATTGTGTGTGATAATTATTTTTCGTAGACGTTGTATGACAGTTTTTTTGATTTGCTTAAGAACTGAGAAACTAGTTGTTGCAGTATTTTTGTGATCAAATTTTTGGAGTCCATCAGGGTGGAAATCTCAGGCTTTATAAAAACTTGAGAGTGCATAATAGAATGTTTATGTTAAGTTGTTATTGGCAGGCTCTGGAATTTTATTGAACTATCCCCTTGATGTAGAATAGTCGACGCACTTTTAGAAGTAATTGTAAGCGGTAAAAGTTCTTGTGTTGTTGCAGGATGATCTGACGATAAGCCTGTTGGAGAAGTGCAAGCAGTCACTGCCTGGCATTCGCAGAATTGCTGAAAGCACCACTGATGATGAGGCAATGCTCTTTGAGGCTCTAAATCTTCACGATGAGCTTCAACGAGAGATTTCCAAATACGAGGAAATGGAGGCTGCTCTAGAGTCTGGAGGAGAACAACGTGAAACTTCTGGTACGGCGGAAGCCAGTTTAGCGGCAAAGGTTGAAAATCACAGTGAAACCCAAACGGAAGATTCTCCAAAAACACAGAGCACTCAGTCCAGCAGTGAAGTCAAAAAGGCTGATTTCCCAGAGGATCATCATCTTGAATCCGACATTGAGAAAAGAAATGAGGAGTGAGAGTTAACTGGGTGTTAGAACCAGTTTTAATGGTCATATTTTGTTTGTATGTGTACACCGGGCACAAGTTATTAGCCATCAACCTGTCATGGTTGATGATTAGTTCATCAGCTTACGGTATTTTGTGTGAGGCAGTACCTACTGATTTTGTGTGAGACAGGACCTAATGATTTAGTGTTTATTTTTCCCTGTGAAATAATGGCTACATAAGGAAGTTTCTGGTAACTTCAATGCCATGCTCTGATTTTCATCTTAACCTCCGAGTCCCTAAAGCCTGAACAGAACCCTTAAGTATATATTTTTTTTCTTTTTTTTTTGGACAGATCACCATAAATGAATGAGGGGTACATATGTATATAATGAGTTTTAATTAAAACGAAATTGGATTTGTGGTACTATGATTATCTACCTCGATTTTTCATTGCGAATTGGTTGGTCGCATGTAGGGGGTGGACGAATTAATCTTCTTTTATATTTTTTACAACGTTAGTTGAGGGCTTTTTTAAACAAATAATAATTTCGCTTTGTGCCCTGGAATTTGAACTTTGTTTCACCATTGCCCCCTTAAAAATCTCGCATCTTACTACTATTTCTTGAAATTTCTCCAATTGGCAAACACCGGTAGTTTCCTTGTTTGTGGACACGGCTATGTTCAAACTCTATCTTCAAAGCCTATCTAACCGTGACCATGGTGATGCTATTTAGTAGAGCCAGGCAACTTGGTGGGGTTGGTTGGTTATGACCGGGTTAAATTGAGTTGGGTCAAAAAAAATTTAATCTATTTTTTCACTAATGTATTAAATGGATAATGATGGGTTGGATTTATAATGAAGGAAAATTTGGAGACCGGTCTCTCTATATAGACTTATTTAGAGATAAGTCTCGTAAAGAAACTTATTTGGTTTTAAACCCACTTTTTATCAAGTTTATTATTGTACCCCTACCATTTGGAAAAACAATAACCGACGTCTGACTTACTGTCTTCTTCACAAATGTTAGATAATTGAAGTATATATGAAAACTCTTGATTGAGTTATATATGGAAACCTTTTATTAAATATTATGATAATTAATGGAAGTTATATATGGAAGTTTGATGTACGAATAAATCGTTGGTCTATTAAGTCAAAATTATATCACAAAATTTTCTTAACAATTCAAAATTTCTTTAACATTAGTGTTATTATAGTGACACTAATTTTACTATAGCGACACGAATAAGATTGTGTTTCCTTAAAATACTCAATACTCAAAATGAAGAATTCCATCATTTCAAATAATAATACAAACTCAACCTCAATTTTCACTTATACTACCAATTGTAAACCTTTAGACGTATAATATATAAAATACGTATTTAATTTTCACAGTAACATCAAAGGTTTATGCTCAATAACACTTCGACTTTTACAAAATACAATGTAATATAGTTTTTACGATAACATCAATTTTCAAAAGATTATAGTAAAAATACGATTCACAAATTAAAAATTTACAAAATTTATAATAGTAACACACCGTTGACAGTTGAATTAGAACACTCAACATCAATTAAGAACATCAAGACATCGAAATTCTGAAATTTATTTTTCAGTTATCACACAATAACAGATCTATTACACAAACACACAATCAATGTATTTCGAATGTCTTGCACAACAAAGAAAACAACAAAATAGAATTATATAACACTTTAATTTAGTAATAATTAATATCATTTTTTAAATTATGAATATAAAAAAAAATACAGTTTGAACTATATATAATGTATATATTTTTTAAAACCTTACAATAAATATCAATTTTCATTTTAAAATCGCATACCTTAACTCTATTTATGAATATCAAAGTTGTGAAAATATTTTGAATGCAAATAATCAACTGTAACTTTGTCACTATAGTAACACTAATGTTAAGAAAATTTTGAATTATTAAGAAAATTTTGTGATCTGATTTTGACTTAATAAACCAACGATTTATTCGTATATAAAACTACCATATATAATTATCAAAATATATAACTTTCATATAAAACTTTCGTTAATTATCATAATATTTAATAAACGGTTTTCATATATAACTCAATCAAGAATTTCAATATATACCTCAATGATTTAATCTATGTAACTTTCTATGACTGGACAAAACTAATGCCGTTATGGATAATTTTGAGATTTAAAAAATAAGTGGACTTAATTACTTAAATATAAGTTTAAACATGGACTTACCCCTAAATAAGTTTCATTCCATAACTCAAGTCATTATAAGTTCATTTAAGGGGATTCACATTCAATTTTCACTGTAATGAATTGTGCTAAATTCATTAAACCATAAAACAATTAAAAATTTTAATAGATACATACTAATATACCAAAATGCACACACACTAATACATAAAAAATACACACACAATAAACAACTGAGTCATGGGTCATGAGTCGGGTTGGACATGGTCACGTGTGTGTGATTTTGGTGTACTAGTATATGTGTGCATATTTTTTACTTTATTAGTATGTGAGTGTATTTTTTAGTATATTAGGGGTAATTTGTGTCTGAAAGTACAGTACAATATGAATAATTTTGAAAAAAATGTTAGTGGTCATTTGGTGAGTCTATTTAAAATTGTCGGATGAACTTATTGAAGCCTACCATGTTTATATTATAAAATTAGTATATTTATTTGATTTTATTATTTATATTATATAATAAAAAGAAAAATATTCAATTCAATAGGTACTCATTTATAATACATTTTAATTCGTTTAATTAACATAAATCATATTATTCAACCCAATAGAATCTTTATTAATTAATATAATTATCCAACCTATTTATTTATAAACGAATTAATTGATAATAAAATAAAATTATCACTTCTACATAGAATATTCATTTGTGCAACATGCCCACAAATAATAGAAAATTAGATCCATTGTGATGAAACCAGTGGTAAGCAACAAACTTCATAACAAACAATCGATGATGGCAACCTCGACGACAGTAAAGCAGTAACTTCAGACAACTACTTCCCTTCGATTGTGTCTCCAAGCAGCAGCTAAATATACTATTGTTTATCGAGTTTGCCCCTCATAGCAGACTAACATGTCATGGCTCTGTCATAAATTTGGATGGAGGTTAGGAAAAAGACCAAACAAAACATAAACAAATTAAAAATGTTAGGGACTATAAATTGGTGGAGTAATGTTATTAGGACATAATTCATTATACTCTAAATTCATTATTAAATATATTTCATTATTATTTTATTAGTGATAATTCATTATACCCCAAATTATGTATATATCCGATAACATCAGTGAAATTGGTGACATTAGGTTTACAGCCCAGTAAAAAACGAAATTTGAGAATTACGTGGTACTTTTTCTCACAAGTGAAGGCAATACGTCAACGAATGGACGCGGTAACACATGACATGTACTAATACCGGAGTGTCTTCACCTCTCATTCCGTGCTTCCTCCTCTGTACTACTCTTCTCCCGAATGGAATCTCACTCTCTCACTCCCTAAAATTCTTCAATTTCCAAATTCTCAACCCGCCAAATCTCCCACTATCTCTTACTGTTCAAATCTTGAAAACCCTAATTCCCCTCTCAACACTCCAAACCCTCTATTCTTCACAATTTTCGCCCGAAAAACCCTAATTTACTACCAACACAGGTTTTCAATCTCGCTCTGCAATGCCTTCTATATCTTCGCCGGGCAAAATCCACCGAATCGAGCTCGAAAACTTCAAGTCGTACAAAGGCCTTCAAACCATCGGTCCATTCTACGACTTCACCGCCATCATCGGTCCCAATGGCGCCGGTAAGTCTAATCTCATGGATGCTATCAGTTTCGTGCTCGGCGTCCGAACCGGCCAGCTGAGAGGCGCTCAGTTGAAAGATTTAATTTATGCCTTCGACGACCGCGAAAAAGAGCAGAAGGGTCGAAGAGCCTTCGTGAAATTGGTGTATCAGTTGGGTAATGGGACTGAGATTCACTTTACGCGTGCGATTACGAGTGCTGGTGCTGGCGAGTATCGGATTGATGGGAGACAGGTGACTTGGGATGAGTATAGCGCGAAATTGAAGTCGCTCGGAATTCTCGTCAAAGCGCGCAATTTTCTCGTTTTTCAGGTAAGTTCAGGAATATGATCTCAAATTTTTCTTTTAATTTTTGAATGTGTTCGTTTATAGGAAGAGAAATATAGTGAATCCATTAATTTTGGGAGGGTGAAATAAAAGCAACTATGAATTTGAGTAATGAAAGAATAAGCGAAAATTATATGTTCAAGAACTTCAAAGAAACTTTGTAAGGGTGAAATAAAAGCAACTATAAATTTGAGTAATGGAAGAATAAGCGAAAATTATATGTTCAAGAACTTCAAAGAAACTTTGTAAATGCGAACTGGTTAAATTTTAGATGTGAGATGAAATAAATTCAAAGTAGCCAGACGTGTAGACAGGAACTCCAGTTAAATTTGTTGTGGGAAAGATGGAAGCGATGAATGGGGAAGAAACCAAATATCTGGATAAAGGAGCTGTAAAGAAGATATTAAATTGTAATGATTACCATAAAAGCACTATGTGGAAACATGAGCTAGGAGAAACCTTTATTATTTATCTTTTTCTCAGATTGTTATGTATGCGCATAGATTTACATGTGTTCATAAATCCGTGCATGTTTACCCAAACCATTTTAGTGCTATACCAGCAAAGTCAAAAAGGAGTTTATTATTTGTAATTTAAGTATTCTGGTTTGATAGGGTGACGTGGAGTCAATTGCATCTAAAAATCCAAAAGAACTTACTGCCCTTCTCGAGCAAATCTCTGGGTCCGATGAATACAAAAGAGAATATGAAGAACTGGAAGAGAAAAAAGCAAGAGCCGAAGAGGAATCAGCACTCGCTTATCAGAAAAAGAGAACCATAGTGATGGAGAGAAAGCAGAAGAAGGAACAGAAAGAAGAGGCTGAAAAACATATTCGCCTGCAAGATCAACTGGTAAGTGTCACTAGGTTTTGTTATAGTTTTTATTTTCCCAGGTTGTTATCTGTAATATGTACATTCTACTAATTTCCACAAGCCTAATGCTTGGATCTTGTTTAGCTTTGCTAAACCGCGGTTGCTTGTTAAACATAATGGTATCATTTTAAGTTTTGGATTTGATCATAGTCTTATTTCCAGTTCCATTTGACTCTCAATTACTCGTAATGTTTCTTCTTTTAAAACTTTCGATGATTTCTCCCCTCATGATGGGTATCTCTTTCTTTGTCTCTCCCTTGCCCCCCTCTCTCCAACCCCACAGAAATCTTTGAAGAAAGAGCATTTTTTGTGGCAACTATTCAACTTTGAAAAGGATATTGCGAAGGTTAATGAGGACATTGAAGCTGAACAGAGAAGCCAGGAAGAAATTGTGCACGACCTGGAGAATTATGAGAGTGAAGCAAGCAAAAAGAAGAAAGAACAAGTCAAGTATTTAAAAGAGATTGCACAGTGTGAAAAGAAGATTGCAGAGAAAAAGAATAAACTTGATAAGAATGTGAGCATTAAATTTATTTAATTTTTTTTTTTATTTTGATTTATATTCGTCCCTAGCTCATATTTTCTTGATGTCGCTTTAGGTGTCCATATATCTGCAAACATACATATAAACCATAGTCATGAGGAAATGGTTTATGTATCAAATTGGTCATCCAGTTTTATGCTACTTAAGGTTACATGAAGTTGTTTTCGTGAATTGCACGATCTTTTCCTTTGTTTTGTCTAGTTATCTCCTTTTATGCAGTTTTCAGGGTGGGTGCAAGAATATTCGTACGTCATGCACTGTCTTACAACATTTGAGTTTTGTATCATTGGCACCAGGATTCCAACGGTCTAAAGCTTGTGGATTGTTGACTCTTTTTTATGTTCACAGCAACCTGAGCTCCTAAAACTAAAGGAGGAGGTATCTCGCATAACTTCAAAAATCAAAAGTACTTCAAAAGATCTTGATAAAAAGAAAGTAGAAAAGAGGAAGCATGCAGATGAAATAAAAAAGCTTCAGAATGACTTGCGGGATCTCACTAAGCAACTGGAGGACTTGCATGAACAAGGTCAAGACGGTGGTGAAAAACTTCAGTTGGCTGACAGCGAGTTAGAGACATATTTCCGAATGTAAGTCCATTTGTTTCTCCTCCTGTCAAATTACAGAGGGCAACTAGTAGAGCCCATACTCTGCTGGAATGGTAATTGGGCCTTAGGGCATCAATGGGCATAGTTTCTTTGTTGGGGCTAGGATATGGGAGAGATTGTCCAGACCATACTTTATCTCTTGGCCCCATCGGATTTACTCACATTGTGATCCAGATGGAATCTGGTTCCATTTTTTGTTCATTAGGTTGATCTGTAGTTTAGACTGGACTGCCGAATTACTTTTGAATATTATTTCCCAAAATTGCAAAAACTTATTATAATGTTCTGGTAAATTGAAAATTTCCTACTAAATTCTGGTTTAGTTGGTTGTGTCTTTAAATTCTATGATGGGCCAGGACTTGCTTTGGTCTCTTGCATGGTCCCCTGTTGGATATCCTCATATCAGAAGTAAGCTAAGGAAGATAATCAACGATTGCTACGTCAGGCAAAATAACACTTACATTTAGTTTCCAGTCATACATAAGCACCTATCTATGTGCTTAAGTGTCAAATATACGTCAAGATTGATTTTGAAATGTGTGAAAAAATGGGGCACACGGTAAGGGTCTCACCACTTCTAGTATTCATTATGTTATTATCAGCTTTTCATTCCCATCATCAATTATCTCTTGTTTTCAATTCATGTGAACCTAGCACTAAATTTTGGATGCATTTTTTCTTGCAGCTTCACTTTTCTTATCTTATGGGTTGTTTTATTGAAATGTATTGGGATTTGATTTAGGTAAATTTACATGAATCCACACTGCACACACACACACACACACATGTATGCATTATGAATCCGCCCGTGTTTCTCTTGTTGGACTTTGTATTGAATCAATTGAGTTGAGTACAAAGTTTTTATGTTGCAGTAAAGAGGAGGCTGGAATGAAAACTGCAAAGTTAAGGGATGAGAAAGAGGTCCAAGATAGGCAACAACATGCTGATATTGAAGCTCAAAAGAATCTGGAAGAAAATCTTCAACAGTTGGAAAATCGGAAGCAAGAGTTGGAGTCACAGGAGAAACAAATGCAAACTAGACTAAAGAAGATACTTGATGCTGTTGGGAAACATAAGGAAAACTCATACGAGTGAGAAAGGAACAGCGTGACATGAAAGAAAAACTTGGAGATTCTCGGTTAGTCAATTTAACGATATTTAATGATTATAGGTTCCGTGCAATGAGCATATTTTACTTCTTGGGCCTATCCTGCTGTAGGCCCAGGCTGGCATATCTGTTGGCATTTTCTTCTACTCGTGTTTCCATTTGTTGATCATCATGTATTGTAGTTTTTTTCCCTCAATAGCACCCTTTTCTCTGGCAGACGCAATATGAAATGTTGAAGGCTAAAATTAGTGAAGTAGAAAATCAACTGCGTGAATTGAAGGCCGACAGGCATGAAAATGAGAGAGTGCTAGGTTTTCCCAAGCAATTGAGACTCTCAAGCGCCTGTTCCATGGTGTTCATGGTCGTAATGACCGACCTTTGCAGGCCAACACAGAAAAAGTATAATCTTGCTGTCATGTAGCTATGGGATCAAATTTATGATGCAGTAGTGGTTGAGGATGAACACACTGGGAAGGAATGCATCAAGGTATGGCATGTGTAATAGTTTGTAGTGTGCTTTTCGCTC